CAACTATAAATTATATATTAATAATATAGGCTGACATTTAAGCAAATCAGCCAGGCTGATTTTAATAAAATCTCTTTATTATATATATTAACATAACTAATTATCTAATTTTATATGATTGACCAACCTCATACTTTTATTAAGCAGATTGGTCCTGATTTATAAATTTCAAGTTTGGAAGTTTGTACCACCAGAATTGTCTACCATGCTTATCAAAATACCTTCTATAAAAATTTTTTGCTATTGAATACAAAATAACTAGATACTAATAGGGTGTAGTGACTTAGTGAAGTTAGTAAGTTATTACACCCCAAGCAGCAAGACAAGAGTTCAAATCCCACTGGCAATGAAATTTGAATTTTATAGAATGTGTTATAGCAGACTGTGTGTAATCTGACAGATTGGCATTTGTAACCTTGGTCATACCAGCTAGTACTGAAAGGATGCGGAACAGTAGTGTAATGCAAGAGTTACATGAAACCCAAGTGATGTATCTGGATAAATCCAGGGGATCGGATATACGAAAGCCTATTTAGCAAATCCCAAATAGAGAGGTAGCACAGATCTTTGATAGTATTACATAAAGAAAGATCATTAGCAATCGGACCTGATAACCAACTAAATGAGAACTGAGTGTTTGGCAAGGCACTACATCAACTAGGCCACGTATATTCAGAAAAAATGATTTATCGAAATATCAGGGGATGCAAGTTCCTTTCGGACCATCTGAATTGGAAGTTTGGGAACACTGTTGGTGTGCCAGAAAAGTTGGTGGTAGTCTGTAAAGTGGGTGCTGTAGTTTGAGTGAACTTCATAAGAGCAAGAGATATAGGAGGACTTTCTTGTGATTGGTCAATTTTATACAATTGAATTTATATAGTTTAGAGTACTTTTACCTCTTAACATAGTAAATTTTTTTTTTAAAAAATGTAACCATCATTCATAATACTACAGAAAACTCTTCGCAAACAAAGCTTTAAGTATCTTGTATTTCACTCACTTTAGATACACTTCTCTTAGAGACGGTTTTTAAGCTAAGAAATTAGTAATATATAATAAATATATGTATTAAAGCTTCTAATTAACTCAAATCGTAACTATTTGGAAAAAAAAACTTAAATATATACATAGTAACTTTATAGTAATATTAATATATAGATTACCACATTTGAAGCTTTACTTAGATATATATAAAGAAACGCTTGGTAAGTAGTTTTATGTTTCAGGATCTTGAAAATTAACAAGTTCAGAAGTGTTTTTTTGATATTATTTAAAAATGCAATAAAAAAACTTATGATTATTATTATTATTATTTTTAAGCAATCAATAGGTTCTTTATTCATTTGTGGTAGCTTTACAATATTATATATTGCGAAGATTATAGTTCTGTTGTTTGACGTTTAATGAAAAACTTTCATTTATTGTAAGTTTATATGGCGATAGATATATATTATAATTTTCTATCTAAATTACATTGTATTGAATCATTTTAGTCTACTTCTAATTATTAAGTTGTCGTTTATTGCATATACGAATAAATTTGTAGTTTTTAATTAGCATTAGTATATAAAATTAATATTTATTACATTATATCACTTATAACAAATAAAAAATTTGGATTGAACAGTTTTCACATGATTTGCAAAGTGACTAATCATAAAGTGATATTCAATTTATATAATCAACCAATCATGAGAGAGTCTTCCTATATGGGCAAGAGTAGGTAATGGTAGTGGCTTCAGCTCGCAAGTACTTGATCTCAGACTCGGTGTAAGTTACTGAAAGTCTAGGTTAGCCAGATTATGGGTATGAAAAGCTCTAGCAATGATGTTTCGAGGATAAATTAATCCTAAAACTATGGTAAGCATCTAGAACTTCTTGACTGACAAATGTAACAGAGATGTTTTAGTGACACAAGGAGATGTGTATGTTACAGAAGGTTTAAATAGGTAATCCCCTAGTTGGATTATAGATATGGCAGCTAGTGTAGAATCTACAGTGTAATATTATATGTGAACTACTTAAATAGGTGCTCAAAAGGCACACGTGTGGCTGTTGTACTCTCTAATGTAATTGGGGTTCCACTGTAAGCTCCCTGCCCAAAATACTTGAATAAAAATCCCAAAGCCAAAGAGACTAATTAATAAAAAAAATAAAAAAAAAATAACCAAATACTTTGCAAAGTAAAATATCTGAGTATGATATTAACTATATAGTATATAACATTTTTATATAAAATACATTTCTTATATAATATCCAGGTACTAACTTAGATTTTAGCCATGAAATGTATCATATCCAAAATACTATAGTCTGTGCTATATGATATTACTAAATACCTAATAAAAATTTACCTTTATATAATATTACAAAGGTTAAAAAAATAAAAATAAAAAAATTAATTAATTAATTATTAATTATTAAAGCTAAACATACTTTAAACACTTGTAAACACTTAACCACTTGAACATTGAACAGTACCAAAAAAGCCTTTGGATAATCAAAATGTACATCACTGCTCTATTCTTAAAACATTTTCTTTCCATCATTAAATGTTTTGTCTTAAATTTAATACACCAATTTGAACCCTTTCAGAACCAAAGTTGATGCATTAATTTCAAAGCTGGTGCATTAAATTTAGAAGATTGCTATGAGCACAGCATTTCACGTGCTTATGTGCTTATGGGTGCAACAATAACCGGCATTACTAAAATATTCTTACCCTAACGTTAACTCTAACCCTAACTCAGGCCAATGTTGTTTATAAGTCACGTGAAATGTTGTGCCCGTAGTTTTTCGCTAAATTTATTTGTCGTGAAACGATCATAATGTGATTCGTACGTACAGCCGTAGGATTACAGCACAGTATCCCGCCAATAAAACAGTTACGGGATGTTACACATCCATATATTCTGATACGAATCTAAATTGCATATTTGTAAATATAGTACACATTTTTCATAATGTGAAGAAGCATGAAATTGATCTCCGCTGTGCAGATAGAATAACAAATCACGTAATTTTTGTTGGTCAGGAGACTGAGGGGACTGAGTTCACGATTCTTTCGTTGTAGTTCTTTTGCTTTTCGCCATGTTCTTCGCGACGATCATCGATTACCAATTAATCAAACCGGCAAAAAATCCAAAAAAAAAAGCGCGTAATGCCAAAGAAACGAAAAACGAAAGTACAAATTAAGACCAAAACATTCAAAAATTACAAGAAAATACATTTTTGCTTTAACTTAAAATAGTACACACGAAATGTCCCGATGACAGCTTACATGTTCTTGAACCAAATCATATCAGAAATCGAAGTATCGAAGTAACTATAAAAATGACAAACGAAAATTCCTTTTACGGAATTAGAAGGAAATAATGCACGTCAATCCCACGTACAAATTATTATACAGCTTAAACATAAGTAGCAAACAGTATCACACAAACACAGGCACAACAGACAAAAAAAGTTACACCGCACAAACAAATAAGGAACAAATCATCCAGCAAAAACATTGCATGAATTACAAAAACATAGAAAAACATAGATTCTTAATTACATGAATTATTATTAAAAAATGTTTGAATGATAAATTGTAAAATCAGTTGATATCAATTTTTTGATTTAATGAGTATTTTCTAAATCATTTAAATCGATTTTCTCATGAACTGATGAATCCAGATAACGCATCAAATCGCGACCTGACGATGTTGAACCGGGAGATGGAGAACTAGGACGTGAGGAATCAGGAGATGGGGATTTGGATAAAGGTTTATTTTTGTTACTTTTTTTCTTTTGCGGAGTATCTTCTACTGAAATTACATAAATATTATTATTTTCCATAACATTCGTGATTGTTTTATTTACTGCTCTAGCCGTTGACAAGACATCTGTCTAAAAAAATTATTATTATTATTTGTTTGATATTGTTATATTTAAATATCTTTAATACTCTACCTGCCAATTCATTAAACATGTCATGTCCTTTGAAAATTGTTCAAAATCACTAAAAGTAGCAGGGATTTTGATACATACAAATTGTTGTAGCAAATAAATTGTCGGAAGGGGTCGCACCAAATATTTAATTTCAATAAAGCCATCTATAAAGAAACAATTGTGAATAAATGTACTATCTTATTTATAAGTATTATTACTTACTAAATGATTGCACTAGGTATATTCGCGCACGCTCCCTGGGTATCCTTTTTAATAATACATTTAATGTTCTCATTGCATTTCGACAAAGTTTAACCAAATCACCATCTTTTTTGGAGATGGGTGTTTTTCTTCCACGTGAAAATTCAATAATAATAATTACTTGATTGTTGCCTGTTGTGCTAATTACTTTATATAATCCATCAAACTTGTTGTTCTTTGTATCAGGAGTAATTTGTTCAATCCTAGTTAAATAAAAAAAAAAAAACAATCAGAATAGTTAATAATTAAAATTAAAATTTTGCTAAATTGATACATACCAGGCAACATCCAACTCATCTTGATGCATTCTAAATACTCTGTTTAAAATATATATAATCGTATCTACAGCGTATGTTCTTTCTAAATTGAAACCTTTATATTCAACTCTCGTTGGTGCTTCTAGCCGTAATGAACTATTTTCAAAAAATTAATAATAATCAAGAATTGATTAATATTAAACATTGACATAAAGAATACTTACAGGTGTGTTAGTATGTGCTGGGCAATATCATGTGCTTCGTGGAAATAAGGATCAAATCTTAGAGATACAAAAGATCTACGAGCAATAGTAGGGATCTCATTTCGAGTACATGCTTCTTCGGTGAATTGATTAATATACTGTGTATACTCGGGAGTTGGTTTCCATGTTTTCTTCTGAAGAACTTCTTCGAGCCAACTAGATTGATCTTTACTTAGGGACTTTTTAATCTGTTTGTATGTTTCATTATCCGATAGATCTAAAATATTATTGAGAAATATTGATTTCATAAAATCTTTCCCAGCTCTTTTGTCCTTCTCTTTATTTGCTGTAAGAATTTTAAGTAATTTGTTTCGAATATCCGTCTCATCCTAGAGATTAAGTATGAGTGAATAACAATTATATCCAAACAAGGTACAGGTTACCCGTTAATATCAACCTCTTATTAAGAAAAAATAGGCTTAGGTTATATAAAAACTATCCCGCTGTCATCAACCCTCGCACATATCAACATAATTGTCTAATCCAAATGGGTTGATATTAACGGGAGTAATCTGTAATATCAAATACCTGTGAAAGGTTTTTTATCTCCTCATCATCATGTACTTCATTTATCGATTCTGTATCACTTTCTCCTGAATCACTACACTCATAATATTCAGAATCGCTCCTAAAATATAAAGAAACAATGAAATCAATTGACAGGATAGAATAGTGATGTATTATATATTCTTACCCAGGTAATTTGTATCGTTTTTTTGCACTCGATATATCCTCAGATTTCCGTTTTAACGAATTCAATATTTCTTTTGTTTTTTCTGTGCGTGCTGTTTCTAAGAGCTTTAATGCATCCTTTTCTGTATTATTGCGGATTAATTCCTTGGGTTTGCAATAAAAATGTTAGAATATATAAGATATATTATATGTAGAATATGATACATACCGTATCGTTCTTCACCTCCTGCCTTCTACGAATAATTTCCTTTTCTTTTTCAATATTCTTCCAAAAGAGGTCTGCGGTTTGTGGGTCCTATACGATATATTAAGAAAACTGAACTAATAAATTTGTACTATGTGGAAAAAAAACCAAACTATAATTTAAAGGACATTTCAAACAGTCAGATGTCATATGGAGGGAGCTACCGTCAT